TAGTCTTAAGCTTCTATTTGTTACTAATCCTCGAAGTAGTTTTTATATCCAGTCAGAAACCATTTGTAGTCATGCACTAAGTAGGTCGGTCGACGAATAATGAGTGAATGATCATTCCCTGAAAAAATGAATAAAAAAGAAAAATGCACATTTACTAAGTTAGGTGACTCTCACTCGGTCATTTATCCCAAAAGAAGTGGTTGGTCCTTTACAAAAGAAAAAAAGTGCATCTTTGAAAAATAAAAAAATTTGTGAAAATAAAAAGATGTTTTGATCATAATCACTAACAAACTGCTTACCATGTTGTATGAAAGATAAAAGCCTTAATGTGACTATTGTGAATGAGAAAAGAGATTCAACAAATAAGGAACCTAGACTATTATTCAATGGCATGATTGGAACCAGTATGCATAAGAGGGAGACCTGTATCCATGTGAGTGGTTTGTGTAATTACAATACCTTTAGTGTCGTATTAGTACTTATCGAGTCGATCCTAGTCAAACCAATTTTCATTAGCCGCATATGAGTAATTACAATGTTTTGCTCTTCCTTATGTCTTTATAATTATGCTTGATGTATTTCATTGATTAATATGCTATCTAACTTGTTTAAGGACAAACAAGGGTTCGAGTGTATGCGAGTTTGATAATGCAGAAAAGTATCGCATTTCCGACTTGATTCGCATGCAAATTGAGTTTTTTCCTTTCCTTTTTATAATTTTATGCTTGTACTTGGTCTCTATTTCAAGTATTTAGGTTGCATGAATGATCGTGCTAAGAAATAGTGCGAAACAATGAAAATGGGAAAAAAATGCACTTTTGCACTGATATGACGCCCTCCCTACCAGGATAACGTCCGTTACGACGTGGTAGGGCCCAAAGCGCCAGCACAAGAAGACAAAGTCTGAAGAATTAGAGCGCTAGTTGGATGACGGGCAGGTCGTCACCCAGATGACACCTGTAATTCCTCCATAATTTATGACGAGCAGGGCGCCAGAGCCATGACGCTCGTAGTGGTTTGTAGTTTAGAATTTTAAGCCACGTTTTGTGACTTGACCATCAGTTTTCCACCTATCTCTCCACTATCTTTTGCATGTTTTGAGACACTTTTGTACGGATTTTAGCTCTATAAAAAGGTGTTTAGAATATACTTTCTCCATCGAAGATTTTAAGAATTTATTTTAAGCAGAAATATTCAGTTTGTAAAAGCCCTTATTTGCTCCCACTGAGTGAAAAATGCACATTAGAGTTAAGTTCTGCATTTTATCAATTTAAATTTGGATCGTTCGAGTTGTAATCTTTCCGGCATTATATTTCTGGAATTTAATTAAAAAATTATTCAATATATGTTTTTGGAGATCTTTCTTATTATTACGTATTAACACTGCACTTCCAAGTTTTATTTACTGTTTTATTACTTTTCTAATTGCTAGTTGCATGTATCATTATTATTATAATATATTAAGTATGTTTAGATGTTAGAATTAATTTTCAATATCTGTTTTTGTACGTTCTGCAACATGTCAGACTAAATTCTTAGAGTCCGGAATGTGAGAATCGTCGTACCGACGATACTCGTATCTAAGTTGTAAAATAAATGAATAAATGAGATTTTTTAAGGGGTGATTTTTACTCTATTTTTAGTTAAAATATTCACTGCGAAAGTATAATTTAGAGATATTGATTCAGATTTGAAAGAACAATATCAAACTTAAGGAGAAATTCAAATTTTACCTAATTGCAGTGCGAAAACATCTTTTATTTAAATTGTAAAAATAATTATTTTCAAAAAGGGATTTTAAAAACATAACGAACATGCGAAGACAAGCTTTTATGCACTTAAAATATGATATTAGGCGAGAAAAAACCGAAAATACCTTTAAAATTATTTGTACACCATAGACAACTTTTCAATTAATTGAAAGCAATTAATTTTCAAAAAATAAAGTTTTGCACTTTAACACGATGAACGAGTGAAAGCGGCAATATAAATTTTAGGTTAAACTCGATTCCGACGGTGCGAAAGCAAACAAATCCTTTAAATTAATTCTTTTTCTTATTAAAAAACACTATCTCAATTTAATTATAAAATAATACGACTTTATGAGTACCGTTGATTGATGTGAGTCACATTCTAGTCTCCGTTTTTAATTGATTTTTTAAACTAGCTTATTTTAAATCCTTTTCACTAAAAAATATTATTATTAGCCTTACTACTGATGCGATAGATAACTATATGGTCTATATGGGTTTGATTCTTTTTATATTAGGGAGATATTTTCGTACACTTGAGGACATAACATTAATTTTTTGAAATTGATTTTCTCTAAACCAACCATACAGTTCGTTGTTGTTTCGTCATCAAATGCGCATCCATATCCATCGTTGTTCCCCTCTACATCTTCCTCTGATGTGGTATCATCATTATTCGACAAAGACAAATCACTAGAACCCTATATCATATCATTCATCACTTTTATAATATAACTATTTTAAAAAATATTTTGAATAAATTAAAAATTATTTAACTATAATACTAATTCATACCTCTAATGAACGGTAGACGCATTGGGTATACCTCCTTAAAAAATTGTAAGTATCTCAACTATGTCCATTATTCAATTTATTATTGTAGCCTTCAATTTATTAAATTTCTCTAACAATTTTTAGATTTAAACTTTGCTATCACCGTACAAAATTAAGGACGTAAAATTTTCTTCCTTCTCAAATACAAATTCACCACTCGAGAATTGTTGTTGAATTACAACTTTTCCTCTTAAATGATTTTCAAAATATTTTTGCACTACATTACGAAAGAGTAAGTAAGAAGTGGAATGATAATAGTACTAAATATTTCTAGAAACTTTTATTGTTCCTCTTAATTGATTTTCACCAATTTTTACTTTGTTGAAATGCAATAAAGAATAAAAATAACAAATGACAAGTGGTTATATAATAATATTACATTTAAAACAAATTACAAATTAAAACTTAGGATAATGACAAGTGGTTATATATATTTTGGAAACAACAAAAATATATTACTAACCAAAAAATTCGATACAAGCAAGGCGATCAAAAGATCCAGCCAACAAGAAACCAAAAAACACAACAAAGTCACTTAAGGCATCATAAGAACACTAACATATTTTCTAAGTTTATAATTCATCCAAAATCTATGAGTAATCTTTTTCACTATGCTAGAAACTACGGCTGTGCTATCAACCTTCCCACCAAAACAGGTGACATTCTTGTAATTCCACACAACATAAACAATTTCTGCAATAACACATTTCATCAACGAAGCACGCCACCTTTTACCTTTGATATCTTGCACAATCCACAACAATTCATCTTGCCAATTTTGAGCTCTATGATCATTCTTCAGCCACTTTAAAATAACCTCTCAAATCTTTTTAGTTTCATTGCAGACAAACAACAAATGATAAGTAGTTTCTCTATTACTACAAAAGCAACAAATATCCTCATTCATAAATCCAAACTTGCACAACCTATCCTTAGTAGGCAACCTGTTATGACAGGCCAACCATAAGGTGCACTTAGCTCTAGGTCTGGCTGCATTACCATATAAGATCTTCTTCTAGCCAACCTGTTCATACTGGGCCTTCATGGTATAATATATCTTTCTGGTGCAAAATTTCTCTTGCAGAAGCATGTTTTTTCAAACCTCCATCTGACTGACCACTTGTCTTTGGTTGAGGATTTCTTTTAGAATCCAAGAGCAGATAGTTTTTATAAGGACAATCCATATATCCTTCTTTTTGATGTAGTAGCTATGGATCCATTTGATCCATAAGCTGTCACCCATACCACAAAAATTATATAACAACTTACTAAGGCAGACTTTGTTCCAATCGACTATAGAAATGATGTTAAGACCTTATCGATTCTTAGACAGCCAAACTTTATCCCAAATAATGAGAGATTTCCTAGTCACTTTATCACTACTGGACCAAAGAAAAGATCTACATACTGCATTGACTTTTTTAATCACAGTTTAAGGCAGAAGCGTACATTGTAACCAATAGTTAGTAGTGGCAAACAAGACACTGTTGATTAACTAGAGCCTACTAACAAAATTGAGGAGTTTAACACTCCAATACTTAATCCCCTGAGCAATTCTATCCACTAAAATCAGACATTGTCCAACTGAAAACCTTTTACTAAATAAAAAGATTCTAAAATATCTTGAAGAAAGAAAATCCTCATCAATATAAATTTTTTATTTATAAATTTCGTAACACGTGCCCTTAGAATACTTGTTATCATTACTCAAATTTATTATAATAGATAAAAAGTAAACTATTCCATGATAGACAAAACTTCTTATAATAGATAAAAAATAAACTATTGCATAGTAGACAAAACTTCATTCGACCATGCTAAATGCCACCACACTACGTTAGTACACGGTAAAATTTAAATGTCACGCACAAATAATACCATAACATTTCAATCAATATATTTAATTATTTTTTTACTAAACACACATCTCAAATATCTCAAATATATGACATTTATTATAAGATATAATATCGCTGAATTGTTATGAATTAAAACAATTAATTGAGATTTCCTTGGTAACAAAAATAATATAGAGTATAGATAGGAAACATGAGAAATAGACACGTAATCACAATTTAAAATTAAACAAACATAAAAAAGTTGAACCAAAACCCTAACGTATTACTATTAGCTTCACTCAACAACAATCAGCTCCTCCATTTGTTTCCTGCGCCGCACCTACTGCTGTATCTACTGCATCTCCATCCTTCTCTAATTTATTTTTCTTTTTCACATAACAAACCCCAACCGGTTTACAAAACCCGCCACCGGTTCCGTAGTTCGCCGGTTTTAGACGGTTAGATCCGGTTTTTACGGCTTCGGTACTCTACCGATCTAAAACCCTAGCCACGTTTCGATTCTCACCGTCGTATTTTGTTAGTTTTCCGTCTCTGCGTTTTCTTTGTTTTTGGGAGCATGGGACAGTTGCTTCCAAATTCAAACGAAGAATTTTGTACAATGGAGGAGGATGCTGAAATCAGTGATTTGCAGTTAACATATTACGTTAGAGATGCTCTTCTTGAAGTCTCGGTAATCATTTTTTGAGATTTTTAGCCATAATTTTTTTGTTCAATTTGATAATTAGTTACAATCGTTAAAAATTTAAGCTTTATTATTAATTATTTTTATTCCCTGATTTTTGTGGTTTAGGATGGTAGAGAGAACTATGAAGAGCTTGTTGGGTGTTTGCAACCTAAAAGGAATCTTAATTCTCATGATGCTGCCCAACTTGTGGTGGGTTCTTTAATTAATATTCATATAAAAAAACTTTAATTTCATAAAACTTTATTAGGTCTAGGCGCCGTCATTGCGTAAAGGCTTTTGCGATTTCAGTTCAAAAACAGTGGATAATTTATCGGTATCGGCACCTGCCAATAATGGTATCAGTATCGGCACCTGCCAATAATGGTATCAGTATAGGCACCTGCCAATACTGTTTTGGCGGTTGGGACCGTTTTTATTTGATACAATTCTATCATACTTTATTAATGTTATATATGATATGATTCCAGACAATTTTGAAAGCGCTTGCTGGAGTAGTGTCCTACATAGACTCTGTCCATCACGGAGCTCTTATTTTTGCTGTAAGTTGTGCTATTTAGCGATTGAAACTTGAAACATTGAATCGATTTTTGGTGGCAAGATAATTTTTGATATGGTTGATCTGACAAGATGTTTTGTTCAGCTTGAGAGAATGAGCTTGTGGAATTTGGCTACAACATATAAGAATTATGATGCAACTGATATCATGGATGCTTTGATTGAGCTCCTCGTATCATTGGTGAATATTTTATTTTGTATTACCTCAATATCTTTGTAATTTGTAGATGAAGCCATTTGAGAATTTATCGAAGTTTGCTTAATATGTATTTTTTGCAGGCTGCTTCGAAGGGAATGTATATTGATTGGTGTTTGGAGAGGCTCGTGAGGCATTTTACTGCTCCTAAACATGTTATTGATTTTCTGAAAAATGAAAATGGAGCTGATAGAAAGAATAAGGTTCTGTCTCGAGTGCATGATGCTCTGAAACAAATAGCTGATTTGGTGCCCCTTGCTCCCATGCGATTATCACCAATAGTTGTCCAGAATATACCGAAACGTTACGATGTGACAGAGCATGTGAGTTCAGTTTGCATTTTCAGTGAAAGGGTTGTTGCAAATTCTTGCTGTATTAGTTCTGTCTTTCATTTCATGTTATGACATGCCAAATGGCATGTTGAAACATGTTCCTTGCTTGACAATGTTAATTTCTAGCATTTGAAATCTTCTGCATTGTGATTTCAAATTTTTCTGTGTACATGTTAAACTTTATTATGATTTAAATACAGTCAAGACTCTTTCCTTGTCAATAGATCCTCTCCCTCAGTCCACAGGCAATTTATAGTGATAGTTTGTTTCTTACTTTTTGCACTATGCGTTTTGAATTAAAATATATAGGTGAAACTTATTCATATATTTATAAAGAAAGATCTTCTCCTCTTCCGTTTTCCAATTTTGCGTTAATTTAGTCAACTTACCTAAAACTAGACTTCTTTAATTTTTTCCCTCAAATTTTTCTTGACTCTTATGTTGCTTGTAGGAGATTGTCATGTATGTTGAAAATATGTTAAAGCTTGAGAGTGGTGCAATTGGAGAAATTGTCGGTAGTACCATGCTACCCGCACTTGTGGATAAATTGATAGAGTTGGATGTAAGTTTGTTAAGCCCCTGTCAGATTTCGGTCAAAACAATGCTGGGACCTTTGATCATTAAATTAATTTTATTTGTCTTGGATGTAGGTGGAAATTGGATTGGATGGCAACATGCATCCGGATGCAAAATGCATATTTGAAATGGAGTTAGAAGATATTGTTAATTTTGCAGATGATGATGAGAATTATAATAATATGGTATGGTCCAATATAATCTATTTTAACTACATGTTACATTCTTTTGATGAAGTGTTGTTTTTAAGATTAAAAAGAAGAGAAAATGATACTCCTATGCTTGGCTTCATATATAGCTTCTTTGATTTTTGTTTCTTTTATACATATTATGCGTGCTTTGAAGTTATTTTGAAGCTTGTTCCTTCTCTGGTGCATTGTTTGATTATATTGTTAAATGTCAATGCTTGAGGTTATTAAAATGGCCCTATCGTCCCATAATCTTGCAACATCCATTTGAAGATGAGAGACAAGAAAGTTTCCCTAGGATGGAAGAGTTGGGTTGTGGATGGTTGAGAGTATGGAAATTCAACCGAAGGTGAACTTGAGAGTGTGGGAAGTTGACCTACGAAGGGGACACCAATGAATCTCTATTTTGTGACCAATAGCTAGATTTCATATTCAGAAAATTTTCAAATCAAAATGAACCATATTTCGACTCCCTACCAAAACTAAAGGATTTGCAAGAGATATATGATATCATGGTCCGGGAATATGTAGAACTGACAGAAGCAGGCGGTATGTAATTGCAAATAACAAAGAATCAACTCTTATCCCACTAAGTGGGGTCAGCTAATGACACCATTTGATTTGGCTACCCGCCATTTGATCTTATCTTCCTACATCAGAATATACAGGTTTTCTATCTATGTGCCCAAACCACCTAAACCAAAAAATGGCAAATAGCATGGTTATTAGGAATTGTTAATTAGGGTTAGAGGTTTATACTACAAGTTAATTCAGTTGACTGTAATGTATGTTGAAGCAGATGCCAATCCCTACTGGCTGCTATGGTGTATCGAATTTGATGATTGTCTGTGATCATCTATGCCGATATACTCTATAGCATAATAATTTATCACATCCTTTGCTTTTGTTTTCTCTTATAAGTTTCTCTGGTATATTTCTGTAGCACAGAGAATGAACTTTGACTTCCTGTCAATTTTATTCCAATAACCCCTCTTACATTTTGATTACTGAGGTGAGATCAGTACTGGTGGATCTGTCACTGGGTTACACCTCTTTTCTTTTTCACCGCACAAAAGAATTTCTTTATCAAGATAAAAATGCGATGGTACACTAGTTTGATTGAAATGTCTTAGGTCAAACCATACAGGTTACTGTACTGGTAGTTTTATTTTTCAGAGAATATATGTTTTCAAGGCTGTGAAAGCCATCTTTTGCCCAATTGAAATAGAGAGGGCCTTATTTTGGTGTTTGCCTATTTCAGACTAACAAGCCTAGCTGAGTGGTTCTCATGCTAGGCTTTGTCAGGCCGTGGTTCAGGTTGAGTGGCTATGTGAAGTGGCAAAACTTCATCAGTTGAGTCCAGGTATAAAAATACTTATACATCGTGTTCTGAATAAGTACTTAGTCAACTACTTGTAGTATGTCCTGCTCATATCTTAATCGCAAGGACATAAATCATCAAATGTTGTGGTATTAAACCTCTATTAATCAATGTGATACTGGGAGGTATTAAACCTCTCTTAATCAGTGTATACTGGGTGGTATTAGACATCTTTTTCCAGCTGGTGTATTAGATTAATCACTTGGATATCCTTAAGGAGCACTTGGATTTCCTTAAGCTTTGTCTGTTAGTGTAGAATGAACCCTGTACTCTAGAGGAGTATGATCCTAAAAGGAAAACTCCCTTCAAGACTTAATTGTTGATGCATTTAATGTACTACATAATGTGCATCATCATTTGGCAGTTTTTTCAAATTGTCTGTGTTTGATACACGCTGTATAGGTATATAGCTTAATCCTTATTATTGATCATAAATAATTTAATCCTTGTTTTTGATCATAAATTTATTTTATGATGAAATGATATTTTCTATTGTGATCCATATTATTGTGTTATAAGTTAACATGACTTTTGGTCTCCATTTTTCAGTGTGCCTCAGAGCTGCTAAGTATGAAAAAATTGCAAGGCAATAAGGTTGTGGAGAAATTAGATAGTCTAATTGTGCTGACTTTTTTGCATCTTGAATCCTGTCAAAGTAGTGGCCGATTGTCTGAGGTACTCCCGCCTATATAACTACCAACTCTTGTGTGCAACATGTTTTATATAATCTTCAAACAATGCATGGAATGATTTTAAAATTGTTAATTGAATTTTTTGTTAGGTATTTGATATATTATTGATGTCATTTATGAGAACTGTGCTGAATACATACAAGTCAAAATTTACCCAGGTACACTTTTGCTATTACTATTATTATTTTTTTACTGTATCTAACTTGCTTGTATCATGTTTCTTGTTGGTACTATTTCTATGAAATGTGGTGTCACTGACTTCGTTTTGATGCTGCAGTTTGTGATGTTCTATGCATGTGCATTGGATCCTGAACTATCTGGTGTAAAATTTGCTATTGCTCTCAGAGATATGTTTGAATCACCTGTTAATCCCCCTATTACTAGGTAATGGTGGTTTGCTTCAAGTTGTATCAACAAGGCCAATATCACTCATATAACTTGCCACATTTATAATTGTCTTCATATGTTTCAGGATGAGTGCTGTTGCTTATCTTGCTAGCTATTTATCTCGTGCAAAGTTTCTTTCATCTGCCTTGGTTGCTGACATCATACAAAGGTTTGGAAACATATTGTCCCTTCTATTAATTATAAAATTGATTTCTACGTCTGTTATGAAATTAAGGAATCGATAAAGATAAATCTGACATTCTTTTTTTGACTTTTCAGATTGGTAGATTGGTGTTTTGCATATTGCAAGATACATGATTTAGATATGAACCCACAAGCTCACCAAGTGTTTTATTCTGGGTGCCAGGTTTGTCCATTGACTTTTTAGGATGTGATGCTTTTTAACGTGCTTTTGATTCTTTCCATCACCCTGCACCCTTGTGTTTTATTTTGGCTGATGGTACAATGAATATGTCACGAATATAATAAATTTGTCCATCGACTTTTTCTTGTTTTGGAGCCAGGGTTTTTTGGTGGATCATGAACTTTAATTTTATTCATTTCATTTGTTTTGGCGTGAGCAGGCTATCATGTACATTTTATGCTTTCGCATGAAATCATTGGTGGACGTACCTAGGCTTAGAATGCAGCTTATCAAAATGCCAATGTTGTTACTCTGGAAGCATAAATTGAATCCCTTGAAGGTAAGGAACAATTTAGAAATCTGACACGGTTTTATAGTAAACCAAATGTTTGGCTATGTTTTTATGGATAAATTTGAGATCAGTGAATATTGCTGGTTGGAGATTGCATTTTTTAAAACTTCATTTATAACCTTGTGTAGCTTTGTCTGAAAACAAAACTGAGTCTGATATAAATTTTTCTGACAGGTGTGTTTGCCTAGTGTAGTAGAGGAATTTCTTAAACAGGCAAAGGCTGCTCGGCTTTTCATGTCAGCAGAATTATTTGTTTTTGAGGATTTGCTCGAGGCTGATCTTTCCAAGGCTTTTGGTGGGATGGATAGACTCGACATGTTCTTCCCATTTGATCCATGTCTGTTGAAGAAAAGTGAAAGGTGTGTAACTTGTCTTGATTTGCCCTGCATATTTTCTGTCGATATTTTGTTTCTAATTTTCCTTTTTGCTCTCCATTCCAACTGTCTATGCTGACAATCTCCAGCTACCTAAGACCACATTTTGTCCGCTGGTCAAGAGTGAGAACTACATATGGCGATGAGGAAGACAGTGATTCTGGAAGTGAAGCATCAGACGACGAGTTTGTTGACTTAAATGCAAAGGATATGAACAATGATGATGATGATATGATAGGCAGTGTAGGAGCAGGCCTTGATTTTGACGCTGACTTGAACAAAATGTCGATCACACCCAAATCGTTCAAATACGGGTTTAAGGAACAGATGAAGCGGGGTCACGAGAATGGTATCGAAAGTTAGACTATCTGCTAGTTTGCCATCTTTGTGATTCATATTTCCTATTTGTTTAAGCTTGTAGTCAAAGCCTGTCAATTTTGCAAAATTTTAGGCCAGCCTAGTAACACAATGGTGTCTTACAAACTGAAACTGAGCATTCTTATTGATGCAGTTGAAATTTTGATGGTTAGTGTTTAAAAAAAAAATGTTTTGTCGTATTTTTAATATAATACATTTTGTTGGTGAGTTAAAGTGTGCGTGTATAAGAATTATGTCTATAAATAAAATAAATTTTTTTTATAGCCAAGTTGTGTTGCGCCTTTGGGCGAGTAGAGCTTCAGGATTTAAAATCCTATATTATGTTTTTCGTATGCACAACAAACATTTGTATGTTGATCAATTTATGTGTTAGTGGGCATGGGAATTGCTTCACACCCTAAGAATTACTTTTCCACAAAGAATCAAACTATCTTTAGAATTCAAAAAATGTAACTTCGGACTGAGTCACATCCCAATTATTTTTAGAATTTGGAAATGCATCTTTTGGATTAAGTCACATTCCAATTACTTGTTGGTTGAATTTAATTTGGAAATGTATTTTTGTAAATTTTACGGAGGTGTATTTTTAAAACTTACTAAAATAGAAACAAAAGAAGATAAATTGATATTGATAACTTAAAGAAATGATACCTTCGTACCGCTCATGGGGAGGTGATAGGTGAATGTCGTCCAATGTGAGATATCGCTTGTTTCGTGGAGATATGGCTTTGTTTCGTGGAGTTTTCTACTGTCCTGTCACAAAATTTGTGATAAGGCGTTTTTTTGGATAGAGGAAAAGTTAAGGTCATTACTGACCCACGTCTCTTTTAGAAATAGGCGTTCAATAGTTCACCGTTGATTGAGTGGGCAATCCTTTTCAAGCAAACTCTAGGCCTAAAGGCCCTATAAATATCTCTCTCCTCAAGGAGGGAGAGGACATACTCTAAGTTATACACATTCTCCACAACTCAAAGAGTTTCATGCTCATTACAATTTTAGCACATACGACTGACCTAACCGCCTGCCTGCAACAAAGCATAGCTGACCATCAACAGAGGCTCTCACCTCATGTGAGCAGGTCCCTTAAACCACCTAAAAAGCTAAAACACTACCGTATATAACTTCTCGCCCCCCGTGAGCAAGCCCTTACTGTCAAAACGGGTTATACACCTACTAAGGTCTCTGAGCCTTCCTGCCCTTGTAGGGGGAATACACACACCTGTACTTTTTGATCAATACAGTGGCGTCCACCGTGGGGCTCCGACAAAACTAACTTGATCCATATCTCCATTCCAACCCTTCAATCTCCCATTTGAAGATGTCTGACAGGTTCCTACGTTACGAAGCAAACACCATTGTCAGAGGTATCTCCGAGAGGGGCAACTCCAGAGCTGTCAGAAGGAGATACACGAAACATGTGTTCGCATCAAACATTATATCCCATGGCTTCCCCAGAAGCGTCATAGGGAAAACAGGGGCTGACATCATTTTCTTCGAGGAGGATGCCGTTGGCTTAACTCTCATGAAAAAGATCCATCACTGTCCAGCACGACAATTGGGATATCAAGTGCGTCTTGATAGATTCAGGTAGCTCCGTTGATGTGTTGTTCTAGGATGTCTTCTGGAAACTACAATTGGATCCAGGCGACATAAAGAAGTTCAACAGTTCCTTGATGGGGTTATTAGGCGAACAAGTACAAATAATGAGTCATGTTACCCCATAAACCACATGCACAGAGGCAGCTAATGCCAAGGTCATTGAAGTAAGCTACCTCATCGTAGACATTATGTCATCTTACAATATCATCAAGGGGCGTAATACTATTAATTCCCTGAGCAGTCATATCCACCTGAGACTTAACCTTAAAGTATCCTCTCCTAGATGGGCGAGTGGGTACAATTTGAGTAGATCAACAAGTGGCTAGCAGATGCTATCTGAGTAGCCTAGAGAAAGCCAGAGAAGAGCTAGCACTGGTTGATGCCCATCCTTCTGAAGTTCCAAATACTGGCTTCGAGGGTTGGAATCCCAGATTGGGTGTGGGGACGGAAAGCCTCACGCCCATGGAAGATTTGAAAGAAGTTTAGATAAGTCATTGCTCCCATTAGGTTATGAAGATAGGCATTTCCTTGTCTGTAGAGGAGAAACAGGAACTAGTCGACCGACTCAGAAAGAATGTCGTCCTGTTCGTCTGGCCCCCCTTAGACATGCCAGGTATAGACAGAAAGATGGTAAGCCATCACATCCACCTCCGTCAAGCCTGCAGTAGCATAGAGGAAACGAAAGGTAGGCTAGGAAAAATGCTCGCCATTGATGAAGAGGTGGAAAAACTATCCAATTCCGGGTTCATCACTGAAACAAAATACGCCACCTGTTTGGACAATGTAGTTATAGTACGAAAGGCCAACAATAAATGACATATGTGTGCAGATTTCATAGATCTGGATGTTGCCGACCCAAAGATCTATACCCACTACCAGACATCGAACACCTTATTGACAGGTCGTAAGGCTACCACACTTTAAGTTTCATGTACGCTTACTCGGGATATAATTAGATCCAAATGGATCACATGGATGAGCCAAAACAACTTTCATGTTGAACCATGGAAATTACTACTATAATATCATGCCCTCCGGCCTAAAGAATGTTGGCGCCACATATCAGCGGCTCATGGACACTGTCTTCGCACATCAATTAGGGCGGAACCTGGATGTATATGTTGACAACATGATTGTTAAAATCGGGGAAGAGCAGAGCCATGCCGGTGATCTGGAGGACATCCTACAATCAGTAAGGAGGTATGATATGCACCTAAACCCTTCCAAGTGCTCCTTCGGGGTCCAGGCGGGGAAATTTATGGTTTTTTGCTAACGAGGAGAGGTATTAAAGCCAATCCAGACAAGTGACAAGCAGTCATCGACATGAAGAGCCCCACAAATGTGAAGGAAGTGTAACAACTCATTGGCACCATGTCGCCCTATCTTGATTCGTCTTCTACGCAGACGATAAAAATTTCCTTTTCTTCACTGCCCTGAATAAAAAGGACAAGTTTGAATGCATAACTGAGTATGATGAGGCTTTCACCAAGGTCAAGAGTTTTTTCACATCACCCAGATCCTCACTTGCCCGAAGGAGGACTTGCATTTACTTATTGACCTCTCGTTTACAAAGCAGGCGATGCGCCCAGTCCTCGTCCAAGAAATAGACAAGGCAGAGAAACCTATTTATTTTGTAGACAGGACAAATACACGCTATCAGAAAGTTGAGAAAGTAGCGTTGGTCGTTGTTATTGCGGCAAGAAAGCTCATGCCATACTTTCAGGGGCACTAGATCCAGGTAAAAACCAATTATCCCGTCCAAGAAGTTTTAAAAAAATTGACTTGACAGAAAGAATGGTATTCTGGGCGAAATAGCTCTCGCAGTACGATATCCAATACGTCTCAAGGGGAAACATCAAATCTCAAGCCCTAGTAGACTTTGTAGCAGAACTCAGCTCGCCCATATACAAGAACCCCCTTTCAGAGTGGTCAATATCTGTAGATGGTGCCTCCAACGTGAAAAGAAATAATGTAGGAATAGATCTCGAAGGACCCAACGATATAGTTATCGAGCAAGCGTTGAAGTTCGAGCTCACCGCCAATAACAATCAAGCAGAATACGAGGCCCTCATCGCCAGTATGATCCTCACCTTGGTAATGTGAGCTACTAGACTAAAGGCCAAAAGTGACTCTCAACTGGTCCCCAACTAGGTCTCGGGTCAATATCAAGCCAAAACTATAGAATGTATGGAATTTATCCTCGCTTTTTCTCTCTTTTGAAGTAGAGAACGTCCGTGCAAGCAAAACTTTAGGGTGGACCTCATGTCCAAGCTAGCCAACTTGAGCCACTGTCTTCGATAACGGGACCTAGTTCGCTAGCGCCATGGTCACTGACTTGTGTAAAGACTTGGGTATGCAGACGAAATTCGTGTCTGTGGTACACCCCAGATTAACGGTAAAGCTGAGTTGACAAACAAAGTAATTCTTAAGGGAATAAAGAAGAAACTTGATGATGCTAAAGACCTACGGGCGGAACTAATCCATGAGATACTATGTTTGTACCACACCACACCATATTCCACTACCAAGGAACCCTGTTTTCCATGGTCTACGGGGCAGACGCAATGCTGCCCGTAGAGATTGAGACACTATCATGGCGAAGAACGCAGTTCAACGAGGAGACAAATGAGATAGGTTTAAAATGTGTAGTAGATATGATAAATGAAGTAAGAGAGGCTTCCCACGTTCGAGAATTCACTGCAAACACAGGGCCGTGTAAGGTACAACTCCAAAGTAAATCCAAGAGAGATGTAAGTGTGTGACTTGGTATTGAAAGAAGTGGTCTTACCCGCACAATAGGGGAAAATTTAACCAAATTAAGAAAGACCAAACTGCATATATCAGAAACTCCTCCATAGGGCATACACGTTACAGGAAAATAGAAAGACCGCTTTTATTATATTTATAATTATTTGTAATTCTCAGATAAATATTATGCTTATGTACCTGTGAATAATTATTTAATTATTTTATTTCCAACAATGATATTCCCTCTTTAAAAAGGCTTCTTATGCTGGACTTCTCAACAAAGATTCTTGACACCCCTTGAGGCGATGCCTTATGTTAGACTTCTCAACGAAAGTCCTCGTTGTCCCTCAAGACGATACCTTATGTTGGACTTCTCAACGGAGGTCATTGCCTCCCCTCGATGGAATACTTTGTGCTGGACTGAAATTTTGGTAGTAGATCTCAGATTTTCTAAGAGATGTCGAGACACTTGATCTCTGCTTCAAACATAATGACAATAAAGAACAGAATATAAATTGCAGAAAGAAAATAACACACAGAATTGTTAACCCAGTTTGGTGAACAACAACATCTATTGTCACGATGAGAATCAAATATCAATCTATTGGATTTAACTTGAATCACAAATCATGAAGTTC